TTTTATAAAGTTAGTTCTAGTACTAGTTCTAGAACTAGATTTCAATAAATTTTAGGTATTGTTCTAGTTCTAGAGCTAAGTTATAGTTCTTGTACTTGTTCTGGCAATAGAGTTTAAGAAGCTTAGTTCTAATTGGAAATAATTTCTAAATACTGCTTCTTTTTGCTTCTGCTGTCATGCTTTCACTGCTTAGCTTTGAACTGAACAAGTATTCAAAAGTCTATTGATATATAATTTATGTCTAAGTAACAAATTCATACATTATTTGTTATTCAGTCTTTGTTATGTACTAAAATATTTCCCTGACAAATTAGTACCTTCTTTGTCAACTAATATTGTTCTACAATTCTAGTTCCAAACTAGTTCTAGTACCACAAGAGAATGTACTTTTAGTTCCAGTTTAGTTCTAGTACTGAGACTCTTGCAAAGTTTAGTTCCAGTTTAGTTCTAGTACTACAAGTCTTGTATAAACTAGTTCTAGTTTAGTTCTGGTTCTTACATTGGTTGTAAAAATAGTACTAGTTCTAGTTCTTGGAACTAGAACTATGAAAAAAAGGCAGTACTAGAATTGATTTAGTTCTAGTACCAAGGAACTACAACAACACTACATTGTTGCATGCAACTTTGTGCTTATTTGATATTTTTGCTGCCTCAAATAGACCACTGCTCTACTTTGTTCTTAGTAACACTAGAATTTACATGAAGAATATTTATGGCTTTTCCAAAATTATTAATTTTCCTTGTTATTTCTCTCCTGAGGTAAATGTACAAATTTCGCTATTTTTTAACAATTCACCATAATTAAATCCAACATTTGCACATGCCATTGACAAAATATTTGCAAAATTTTTCTTTGCAAAATATTAGGGGTTCATTGGAATGTGATGCATTCGAGTGACATTCATCATAGGATTATTACCACAAGGTAATGTAAGTATAGTATTACCAACTGACTCTGGCCATGTATGAACACCAAAATCTAGTGACTCAGTTTGGCTTTAATTACAAAGCCCAGTGACTAGAAAAACAAGCAATTCTTTAACAATTAAGGTCAGTATTATACATTCCTGACAGTACAACTGAACGTCAAATATTATAATGTACAGAATCTATCAGTATGTACCTGATGTCTGAGTGTCTTGAAATCCTAGCTCAGATAGTAGGCTAGTAATGGCTGCTGCAGTTGACTGCATGAAGAAATTGGCTTGTTGATACTCTTTCAGGTTGCACTCAAAACGATGCAGTGTTCCATCATATGCAGTACTATATAAATGTATTAATTGATGTGCATGTAACTGATCATGAAGGCTTATATTGTTCCTTACAGTGGGACAAAGTAACAGGATATATCTAGTTTGTATTGGATCTGCTGATATGTTTAAGCCATTGATAACAGCTCTAGTGAATATCTGCAAAGGAAAGAAGCAATAAGTAATACATGGATACTGATTTTAAAAGAAGGCTCTGAAAGTAATAAAGATATGACAATAATAAAGAGGTGTCTAACAGATTTATGCTAGTGGCCTTTGATCATTATGGCCACATATACATGTATTTATGGAATTGGCTTTTATTAGATGAGCTTCATTAATTTGTGATTAAACAACAAAGTGAATGATTGATTCATAGCATACATTTGCTTCAAGGACTGCCAGCTGATATTCTACATTGGTGACATTACTAACATTAGACAGTACACCAGCTAGAGAATCTGATGAAGAACTGAGAAAAGGATCCTAAACAAAATTAATAATGACATTGGTGAAAATAATCAACAACATTTATAAAATCATATCAAATTATAAACTAACATACTTCTGACATTAATAGTCACATTTGTGATATTGCCATTAATGACAGACACACATGAGTAAGGCCCAGCAATGTCCAAATTAGGTAATGTAATATCCTTTTTAGTTCCACTATCAGCATAGCTGGTCAAAGTAGATATTGATCTTATATCCACACGATACAGGGCTCTGAAAGCATTTTAAAGACATTTGTTCAGAGAGGTCTCTCATTCCATCATTGAATATTGTGAAACTTAAGTTTATTAGTACTGCTAAAATTTGAACTATTAGCAAAGACTCAAATGTCGAACAAATTGTACATGTACCTTCACTGTTCAACAAATTCCATGTAACAATGTCTCCATTTAATGCTGTACAATGTAGAGAAAGTGGGTATCCTTGATTAATAGTGTAGGAGCTAGTAACGGGCTTGATTTTGATCAAGTATCATAGTTTCTGTTAAAGTACCATAGCATATTAGCACATATGCAATGAGAATTAATTAAATCCTGCATGCATTTACACATTTATGCAGTAGCAAAGCATGCATAAACTTATAAAGGTTCTAATTCATGGCATATTGAAGTATAATATGATCAAGTATAACTAACTAATTATTAGCTATACTATTAGTCTGAATAGTCAACATATGATTGTCTTATTAAGCACTCAATGTGCATGACTTTAGCCTAGAGCAAGATATCAGTGTAAACAGATTTTGTTTTTGGCTTCAACAAAGCTTTGTAAGAATTTAAATAAAATAATTAGATAATATTAAGGAAACGAATCCATAGACATAACTAAAATATGATTCACTAATTGACAACACTGATTTTAATTTACAATGTAACAGACATAATTTAATATGAAACTCAATGCTTTCCAAGTAGCTAGGGCACCACTCTGCCAGCTAAAAAAGGGAAGAAAAAAAGTAAAAGAAAAAGGAAAAGTTAGAAAGTGATTATAAGAAGAATATATATTTCTATGGGTTCTGTTGGCATTTATGAACACTTTCCTGCACATACATGTAACTTCATACTTCAAATGACCAGGGTTATACCCTATCCACTACATTTTCAATTTTTGTGTTGTAGGAAGATTCAGATTTATTCTACATTGACAACTGCTATTATTATTTTTAAAAAGTAAAAAATACAACACTACTATCAGAGCAGACAACTTAAATTTTATTTAACTGTAAACTAATAAAAAATGTAAAAGTTTAGGAATTAAAAAAGTTAAAACATGATTTCATAAGCTTGCATTTCTGTCATTGTCAAAGAAGTCAACATCAACTTGCTCAACATGATGAGATGTGTGCTTACGAGTCGAATGACGCTTGACACGAGCTCCTTTGAGTTCAACCAAATCCAAGTCACTGCTTTTCTTTTGACTACCATGATCAGCTGGAACATCATCTTCTTCAACCAGAGGAGGAAGATAAATTTTATCCCCAGATTTTTCATTTAAAGTGCTGTCTTTAGATTCAAAGGCGCTTGAAGAATAAGTATTAGAACAAATGTAATTGGACCTCTTCTTGTTAGAAGACAGATAATATTTTGATGTCATTTGCATTTTTTTCACAAAACATGGACACAATAGGGATTTCCATGCTGCTCTTGCATCACTGCTCAGTACAACAAAAAATATAAATATGAAGAATCCTTGGAAAGCATTGAAGAAAGCAAATAAGAACTGAAGGGTATAAGAGACTCCTGGCTCAGAAATAAAAGTGAAGATACCAAAGACCCATGTTAAACCAAAAAGAAACATTATACCAGTAAAAGATAGTAGCAGTGGGAT